AAAAAAACCCTGAAAATAACTCAAGTGTCTATGAACAGATGAAGCAAATGTGGTATATCCATATAATAGAATATTATTCAACACTAAAAAAGGAATGAAGCACATGGTATTGTTTCAAAAGATATTAAAAAATCCAGCTAGATGCAAAAAGATTAAATATTGTGATTTCATTTATGTGAAATGTCCAAGAAAGGCAACTCTATTGAGACAAAAAGTAGACTTGTGAGGTTGGGTGTGGGAATGGGGGTGACTACAAATGGGCAGGATGAATCTTTACAGTGTGATGGAAATGTTCTAAAATTGCACAGTAATGACAGTTGCATAATTCTGTAAATTCACTATATCATTGAACTGTACAATACTTAAAACAGGCAAATGTTATAATATATAAATTATACTTCAATAAAGATGTTTAAATAAAAATCATATGCATGTATCACTTTGATAAAAAATAAAATGACAAAGCCAGAAAAAACGCCTAAGAAAGGTGAAAGAAGACTGATGGATGCTGTGTATAAAAGTCACCCAGATCTTTTCTTCTCAGGTAGATTCTAGAAAGATGGATGCTGTTCTACAAAAACATCTAGGCTAATGGTTGTTGGTGTTTCCAAGCAAAATTACTTTTCAACCTTAAGAGAAAAAAGCAGTGGGCAGCAAGTTAAAAAGCCAATAATATCTTCTTTCCCTAAATTCCGGAAGCATTTTCCAAACAGGCAATCTTTTAGCTTGTACAGTATGACTCTGGTATCTAATGATAGCATATTCTTTCATTTGTAATATCGGTATTTGTGTCAGTGTGGGTGTTCATATGGTTTCTAAAGACCAAGCCTATAACATGATGTCAAATGTCAACATCTCAATTATCCTTCCCCAAAAGGATACTGACCATGATGTACACTGTGGATTCCTAAAACTATTAAACACTGAATGTACTCAGTTCTCAGGTACATTTCAAATAGCAATTTATTCTCAATAACTGCTATAACTCATTTCTTTTTTTTTTTTTTTTTTGAGATGGAGTCTCGCTCTGTCCCCCAGGCTGGAGTGTAGTGGCGCGATCTCGGCTCACTGCAAGCTCTGCCTCCTGGGTTCACGCCATTCTCCTGCCTTAGCCTCCCAAGTAGCTGGGACTACAGGTGCCCGCCACCATGCCCGGCTAATTTTTTGTGTTTTTAGTAGAGACAGGGTTTCACCGTGTTAGCCAGGATAGTCTTGATCTCCTGATCTCGTGATCCGCCTGCTTCGGCCTCCCAAAGTGCTGGGGATTACAGGCATGAGCCACCATGCGCAGCCTATAACTCATTTCTTAAAAATAATTTAAAAACTATATGCTCTTAAAAATATAAACGGTACAAAAATGTGTAAGGAAAACTTCAAAGTTCTCTCCTAGTGACCAATGTTAACCATTTGATATACACCCTTGCATATTTTGTCCTTGGTTTAGACCAACAAATATAGTTTTATATTTTATTCCCTCCTCTCTTCTATTTCATAGAATACCATCTTATGCTGTTAACGGACCTTTACATTGTTTTCAATTACTTATGAAATAGGGCTGCCTTTTTCTTTTTTTAAATGTATTTTTTTTTTTTTTCCGAGATAGTCTCACTCTGTCACCCAAGCTGGAGTACAGTGGCATGATCTCAGCTCACTGCAACCTCCGCCCCCGGGTTCAAGTGATTCTCTTGCCTCAGCCTCTCAAGTAGCTGGGATTACAGGTGCCTGCCACCACACCTAGCTAATTTTTGTATTTTTAGTAGAGATGGTGTTTCGCCATGTTGGCCAGGCTGGTATCGAACTCCTGACCTCGTCTCGGTCTCCCAAAGCGCTGGGATTATGGGCGTGAGTAACTGAGCCCCGCCTTCTTTTTTCTTTTTGTAGTGTGATTGCTGGTGGGTCAAAGGATTTGCAAATACAAATTTTAACAGATATTGCCAAATTGCTTCCCCTACAAACGGAACTAATTCACACTGTAACCAGCAGTTTATGAAATTATCTATTTCTCCACATTCTTAGTAGCACTGATCTTTTCATATTTACCAATTCAAGATGAGAAGTGGTTTCTCAATGTTAAGTTATATTTTTTAATCTATAGGGAAAGGTGGAGGTGGATACTTTCCATGTTTTGGGCCATTGATACTTCTTTTTCTGTGGACTGCTTGATATATATTAATTTTTTTGTCCATTTTTCTATTACTTGTCACTTTATTCGCTCTTTGTACATTAGGGATATGCATTGAAATATTTTTTCCCAAGTTTGTTTTCTAAGGCTTTTAAAAAAAACTTTGTTCATAATACTATATATATATATATACACACACACACACACAGTTCAATCTGAACATTTTTTCCTTAGGTTCCTGAGTTTGCTGTTTTTATGAAGGTGGCTTTCCCTAAGATTAGATAAGCCTGTGTTAAGTTCCCAAATACGCTTGCATCTATTTCTGGAATGTCTATTCCATTTCTCTTGTGTATTTGTTCTTTCTCATAGCAATGCTATATATTTTTTATATATTTTTATTACAGTAGCTTTGTAATGTTCTAACATCTGGCAGGAAAAAGACTCCTCTCTCAACATGTTACTTTCTCAAAAATGCCTCAGATATTCTTGCATCCCTATTCAACTATATTCATTAATTAGTATATTAAAAATACGTATTAAATAGGCCCTCTTCCCATTTCAGTGTCTTCTTCCGCCATACAGTTTCCATCTACTGAGTTTTTGAAATTTAGAGTATATAGTTTCAGCAATTTTCCTGTGCTCGCATTAGGGCCTTCTTAAGCATAATACAGTAGTCTCCCCGTATCTGTGGTTTCATTTTCATTGGTTTTAGTTACTGTAGGCCAAACCTGCCCCCAAAATATTACATTGAAAATTCCAGAAATAATTTATGAGTTTCAAATTGCAAGCAGCTCTCAGTACGATAATGAGACATCAGGCCATCCTTCTCTGTCCTACCCAGAATGTCAATCATCCCTTTGTCCTGTGTCTCCAAACTGTCTGCAGTACCTGCCTGTTAGTCACTTAGTAGCTGTCTCGGTTATCAGATCGAGTGGTTAATCAGATCGACTGCCTGGTATCTCAGTGCCTGTGTTCAAGGAACCCTTATTTTACTTAATAGTGGCCCCAAAGCACAAGAGTAGTGATGCTGGCAATTCAGGTATGCCAAAGGGAAGCTGAAAAGTACTCATTTCAAGTGAAAAAGTGAAAGTTCTGTTGAAGGAAATAAAAACAAATCATATGCTGATGTTGCTAAGATTTACAGTAAGAACAAATCTGTGAAATTTTGAAGGAGGAAGAAGAAATTCATGCTAGTTTTGCTGTCACACCTCAAACTGCAAAAGCTGTGGCCACGGTGCATGATAAGTGCTAAGATGGAAAAGGCATTCCATTTATGGGTGGAAGATATGAACAGAAAACATCTTGTGATTAACGGCAATGTGTCACTCCAAAAAGCACTGAGCCCATGCAAAGACTTCAGCAAGGAATCCCTTGAAATGAGTGACACCAAGCCATTACGGACTCAGGAACACGGAAGGTCAACAGTAGCCCATTGCTGTATCACAATGCCCACATCACTTCACTGCATCTTACCACGGAGGCATTGAAGCATCTCCCATGATCACAAGAAGGGTAAATACAGTACAATAGAAGATATTTTGAGAGAGAGAGCACATTCACATAATTTTTATTATAGTACATTGTTATAATTGTTCTATTTTATTATTAGTTATTAATCTTATGCTGTGTCTCATTTATAAATTACACTTTATCACAGGTAGGTAATTGGAAAAAATAGTACATATATGATTTGGTACTACTACCCACAGTTTTAGGAATCCACTGCGGGTCTTTGAACGTATCTCTCATGGATAAGGGGGAACTACTGTATGTCTTGTATTATATTATAGTCTTCTTCTTTCATGTCAAACATGGTTTTGGCCAGATGTGGTGGCTCATGCCTATAATCTCACACTTTGGGAGGCTGAGGCGGGCAGATTACTTGAGGTGAGGAGTTCGAGACCAGCTCAGCCAACACGGTGAAACCCCGTCTCTACTAAAAATCAAAAATTAGCCACGCGTGGTGGCATGTGCCTGCTATCCCAACTACTCAGGAGTCTGAGGCAGAAGAATCGATTGAACCCGGGAGGTGGAGGTTGCAGTGAGCTGAGATCGCGCCACTGCACTCCAGCCTGGGTGACAGAGCGAGACTCTGCCTCAAAACACACACACACACACACACACACACACACACACACACACACACACCATGATTTTACTCCTTGAATTTACTGCCAAGCTAATCAATCTCATCAGCCCCTCACTCATTTTGTTTAGTTGCTCCAACTTTCCACATTCTTCCCAGCCTCTGGGCCTTTGTACAGTACATGTCCCGCTGTCTGCTCTGTACTCATCTGCTTGGTCTGTTAAGACATTATTTCCATTAATGGCTTCTCCAACCCCTGCTAAATTAAGACTAGATTCTCATCCGTCAGACCTTGTACTTTTCCACTGCAGCATGTAGCTACTGTTCATAAATCTCTATTTGGTTGCCATGCTGTCCCCCGCTATAGTAAGTTTCAGGAAGACTGTGCTCCTGTCACTACTGCATACCCAATACCTAGGTAGAGTCTAACACCTATACTTGAAAAGGAGAATGGGTTCTTTGTATCTGTTTCTGAACCATTACTAAAAATACATTTTAATAGTGCAATACTTGTAACCAAGATAAGAATGCAGACTTTAAAAGCCCATTCATTTTCTATTAAACAGAAATTATATACTCATTATAAATTACTTTTACATATAAGTCATTATTGATCAATAATTGGCTTGTAGGATAATCTGTACTGTTCTTTATACTTACTGAGTCTAATGATACTGCTCCTATTTTAGAATTTTTCTTGAACTAAGTATTACACTACAGAGATAAAGCTCGTTCCTATATACTAGTATTACTAACCTCTCTTAGTAGAACAAAAACACAATACGCAAAGCATACTAGAAATATTTGGTTCTTTTAATCAGCTATTGATGGTATAATAAAATAAATTTAAGTGGCACCTAATTTAACATGTAAAATAGTTCATTAAAAGATAATCTACAAAACAATGTTATGCCTAATTGTCAAAATAACACCTTTTTTTTTTTTTTTTTTCAAGAAAGGAGAAATAAAGGCATAATCAAAATTATGGCTAACAGCTTGGGTTCATTTTGACACTTACAGATGATTTTGTAGGCATATAGGCAGGCACAATGTTGAAAACCAATCCACTAGATTTAAAACTAATGGTAAGATAAAAAAGAAAAGATATACATTTCAGAGGTAATGTTTGAAATTAAAGAAAAATATCCACCATATATTACAACAGATCTTTTAATGACTATTTTTAACATAAACATTGTTGTTTTGGGAAACATGTTTTCTCTTTGAACATTTCACTCAATGTTCAATGTATTAAATCACTGACAGAGAGAAATCAGTTCTGTGCTCTGTACAAATTAAAGGACCCATGAATATATAACCCCTCCCAACCCGCCAAAGCTCAGGTTTGCAATGGTCTCAGCAGAAAATAAACAGCCCAAAATTTAAACAGAATTCATAGCATTACAAAAGTTTACAGAACCCCTATGTTTCCATCATTTGTTTCTAACAACAAAGATTACAATAACAGAATTGAATGATCAGAATGTAAAAATATTTGTGCAAAACTGCATTAATTGTTCTTACCAACTAATGGGGTAAAACTTAAGAACACGCAATGACAATAATGAAGAAAAACTACATTAAAAGTAATTCTACTTTAGATATCAAACAACACGGATGATACTATTACTAAACATTGGAAAAAAAAAAACGTGGCACCATGAGAGCAGCAGGAGCAACAAATGATTTGGCAATTCCAGCTAAGGAAAGCTGACACTGGAATATGCCAAAGTTAATCTCCACAATAGGCATCCATCTGAAAAGACTGGAAACAACTGTAGGGCTTCAAACTTACTTCAATGTCTTTATTCTTGAATTTGCAGGTCATAAATGAAATATTTAAGAAAGTCTTTTCCTCTCCCTCTCAAGGAGCGTTTCTTGTGCTACTGGCAATCATTAAAAGAGCTGAATCATCGACTCTCTGGATTTACCAACACCAATCCATTTCACTAGGAGAAAACAAAGAGAAAAGGAACTGCATCAATTCATTTCTAATGTTCACTCTTTGGGATTAAAAAACAGGTGACCCCACTTTTCTCAGTATCACCATAACTTTTCCCTAAGTGCCCTTTTGATGTTCTCTATTATGTTAGCAGACTGTGCCTATTTCTAAACAGGATGTACAAACAAGACCCGGCACAGGATAGTATGCCTTACTGTTCCCTTTTTAACTGTGCAATATTTTCAATTTCCTCATTTCTAATGACTTAGGATAGTAAAATATTGACCAAAACCAGCAGAGACCTACAGAAAGTCTGATCGAGTTCCTGATAACTGGCCAAGATAAGCATCTTAAACATCTAGATGAGAATATGATTTTAATTTGCACAGCCTCAGAAACTGCCCACTACGTGAGTCAATGGAAATCGAATCATCTGCACCACATGGTTTTAGATTATTTGCAGAATTACCAGCTTCCTTAAGGTACTGTTAGGATCAACCTTTGTGGTATTTTACAGATTTCTGTTACATTCATTGCTGTTTATATTTCAAGAAAATGCTGACTAAGAGCAGTAAGCAAATACGCTTACTAAATTTGACATCAAGCTAGGAGGGAGGAATCATGCTGGAAACGAACCACAAATACAAATGAACCACAAGGCAAAATCAGAGTAAGTGCATAATAGATTTTATATGGAGGACACATCCCACACACTTCACTTTTTCTTATCCTTCAAATACCCATCAATGCCAACAAAAGGATATAAGGAAAAAGCCATCTGTTAAAAGAATGACTTCACATAACTAGATACAGCCATAACGCTGTTATGCCTAACTCCCTCGCCATCTTACATGTGTTCTTTAATAAACAGTCTTAACTATTTTTAAGAATTCTTTTCTTACATTTTTTCTAGTGAGATTTCCCATTTTCTATACCTATTACTTCCCAATGTATTTTCAGGAAACTCTAAATCTCAAGGGTAGTTTAACCCAAACCATAACCGTTTTTAATCCCCCAAAAACACAAACCATTTTTGGTGGTGGTAGAGATACACGAGGATTTGTTATTAAGAGGAAGAAAGGAATGAGACAATGTCATAGGATTAAAAAAAAAAGACTAAGGATTAAAGACAGGGTCAGAAAGGGTGAGAAGTAATCTATTATTTCTATAAAGATGAACATTATATTTACTTTAAGGAATAAAATTATGACTTTAGATCTTCCTGGGCATTTATGCAAATCATGTGCACTCTGTAAAGTAACAACGATCTTTCCTTTATTCTATTTCAAAGGCAGACAGGTAAGTTAAAAGAAAAGACAGTCGGCCGGGCATGATGGCTCATGCCTATAATCCCAGCACTTTGGGAGGCTGAGGTGGGCAGATCAACGAGGTCAGGAGAGACCAGCCTGGCCAATATGGTGAAACCCTGTCTCTTACTAAAAATACAAAAATTAGCTGGGCATGGTGGCGCATGCCTATAATCCCAGCTGCTTGGGAGGCTGAGGTAAGAGAATAGCTTGAACCCGGGAGGCGGAGGCTGCAGTGAGCCGAGATCCCGCCACTGCACTCCAGACTGGGACAGAGCAAGACTCCGTCTCAAAAACAAAAAACAAAAAACAAAAGTAGAGACAGTCATTCACAAAGTGTTTTTTATGTTTACCTGGAATTTGAAGCTCATCTTCAATAAATCGAACATAGTTTTGTGCATTAACAGGTAGGTCTTTAAATGCCCTTGCATTTGATATGTCTGTGTTCCATCCTGGGAGAGTCTTATATTGAACTTCAACTTTATTTAAGACTTCTTGGTTTGCTAAAAGTTAAAGAGGACATTTGTTCATGGTACACACTGCTTACTGTCAAACAACTTTTTGATATATTGCAGGTTCAGAATCTCTTTTCAAAATCTTTGGAGCCAGATACATTCTGGGATTTAGAATTCTTCAAGTAGTATAAAGGTAAAACAGTGCAAATACCATCTGGGGTAGTATTCTATAATCAAACATATTTCTGCAGCAACACATATGATTATTCGCTCTAAGAGGATAAAGATTATGTAATACTAACATTAGTTCAAGTCTGGTTTTGCTGCCAAATGAATCTGGGTGCTAAACTTAAAACTTTCCAATTTTAAAGCTTATTGAATTTCCATTCTATTGATAGGGATTGTAGATCTGCATAATGACAGCAACCTCACAGAAAGAAGGCCTGCATACCTGCTGTCTTCTGAGAAATCTATGGTTCTGCTTGAAATTTTCTTCACCATTCCACCTATTTTCTCTGTATCCCTAATGGAAACTGAAAATGTACTAAAGAAGAGTTTCTTTGACTTGAGTCAATAGAGTGGATGCTATGGTACTCTGCCCAGATTTCTCTGAAGACTCAGAGCTGTGGGAGCTTTGCCTGCTGACCACTCACAGTTCAGAGCCTCTGCAGGACTAGCCCTCCACCAAAGGGAGTTGCTGCCCCACAGCAGCCCATATCCATTGACTTGTCAATGTGGGAACAGAAACAACCTGGGCACTTAACCTTAATTTGGGACAACTGTCAAGGGCTATGTTAGCTCCAGAGCTCCCTATGGGATCAGCGAAGGCTTGTTTACAACTATATTGCAGTGCAATTTCTCCCTCTGCATAATCTTGCTTCTCCCACTCCCTCACAGATGTTGTTGCTCAGTGCACTTATGAGCAAACACGCCTATGTGCAAATCTCTACATTGGAGTCTGTTTCCTAGGGAACTCAATCTAAGATAGCTGGCACCAGGAACGGTCAGAGGAAGATAGCTCTAAAACGAGAACTAAGAGGCAGGATCATTGGCTAGCTGGCTGGTTGGCAATGAGGACTATCACTGGGGTAAACAGAGTATGGATAGCCTCTATCTGAGGCATTGAGATTTGAGCACAGTGGAACAAGAGAACTGGATGGCTCTTGATGAATGCCATTCATGAACTGGAGAAAGATAATGCAACCTGTCTGGCAGAACTTAGACGAAATTCCATCTCCTATAGCAGAGAGCAAAACAAGACGAGGATTAAGATAAGAATTCAATCATATAGACTGCAAAGCTCCAGAAAAACCTGAATTCTGCAATCCAGCAAGTTTGCTATGGCAAAGTCAGAGCTTTGTTTGGGAAAAAGTGGGGCCCTGAGACTCTGAATGGGACATCTGAATTGACGTACCTGAAAATCCTGAATCCCTAGATTTTCCAAACTTTCTGGGTCTGCAAAATGTCCCACTACTTCCTATTAAAGGTTGTGGCATCCTGTTGCTTGAAGATGATGAAGAGGCCTCTGTCTTGCAAGGCAGCATGTACCCATCTCACATCTACCTTCACCTTCCCCCTTCTGGTAAGCAAATAACTAGGCTCAGGTCCTAATGTAACCTGGCTAAGGAAGTACTGGGCCTACTAAGGAAGGAAAGATACTATATTCTAAAAGATCTGCAGGAACAAGCCAACATTTGCCAGTAGGCACTAAGAGAGTGTATATGGAACTGGGTCCTGAGGGATGCTGGGTCAAGGGGGGCAGCAGGTGGTAGAACAAAGTTGAGTAAGAGTATATTGGTAAGAGAATATCCTCTCATGATGCATGACACAGAAATGATGAAAACATCCTGCTAGGAATGCTCTTGGAAGCTTAGAAAAAGTAATGAACCATACTAAGTAGGTATGCCGAAGTGCTGTGGTAGGTGGTAGGAGGAATTAAGAGAATCAGTGGGGCTTCCATTTCTAGTCATCATAGAATACACAGTTCCCAACCAGTTCTCAAAATGACAACTCCTTCTAGGCAGTGGACAACAGGCAGGCACCAAGCCATGGCTCCTGGGAGAGAAAACTCACAAGCAAGCCCAGAAGCCACCCAACTTTCTGCCTAGGAACAATTTCCTGACCACAGTTCAGAACACTGGTGTAAACAGAGGATGGCAGCTCCACTGACCTGGGGAGGTAGACAGCTGACTTCAGGAAAGCTGAAACAGCCAGAATCAGCAGGGCCAGGCATCAGAGAGGAGCTGCAGAGAGAAGGGCCCCCGAGAAGTCCATGTGAGAGTCCCATGGCCACAGGAGGACGCCACAGGCAAGAGCAGGACCAGCAGAGGCTTCCCAGACCTCAGCTGCTACACAATGGGGGGACTTCGACCAGACTCTAGAAGCCAGGCAGTGCTTCTGAAAATGGAGGGACAGGGAGCACTGGTGCCCCAGCACTGCTGGATTGAAGAGACCTCATTATTATACCTTAACTCTCCTGGTATCCAGCAGAGCCACCAGAAAGGCTGCTCTTTAAGAATAAAAGCCACGCCCTTGAGTGAAACCTATGACAAACCCCCCATAATGAAGCCAAAAACCAAGATCTATAGAAGAGACAAAATTTGGAGACTGACTTATACCAGCTTAAAGTTTGAAAAACATCTTGGGTTTTCCATGTAACTACACAACAAAGCATAAAACCAAACTATACAAGTTCAAGATGATCAGTGAATAATTCAATTGTCCCCTAAAACAAGAATCAACGCTATTCAGAGGAAGATAACAGAATCTGAGTCTCTTTAATATATCATCCACAATGTCTAATAGTCAACCAATAGTCATTAGGCATAGAAACAGTGATCCACAACCAAGGAAAAGAATAGTCAAGAGAAACTCGACTTGAGATGATCTAAATGTTAGACTAACAGAAAAAAGGTAGCTAATATAAATTAAGAAAATTTCATTGTTACTGAGTGAACAGATAGGGAATCTCAGTAGAGAAATAGAAAGTAGAGAAGAGAACTAAATGGAAATTCTAGAAATAAAAATTCACCAGTGGGTTTAAAAGCATATTGGAGATGCTGATCAGAATCATTTACCTCTTCTAGTGACTCCATTCCCTGCCTGCTGGCTTTGGCACATGAAATCCAACATGATAGGGGGAGCCTTAGCTTTAACCTTAATAGGACTCTTGCTTCTACTTTCCCGCTGTGATAGCCAGGGTAGGGGCTAATTTACACCACTAACCTTCCTCTTGTAAGCTTCCCTAGGAAAGACAACAACCAGAATCCTACAGGAGCTATTCCCAGAGGCTTGTCAACTTATTTTACCCTCTTTAAGCACTCTCTGCTACTGGTGGGGAGTACTGCATGTTGCTGATTCATAGCTCCGTCCCTCTCCAGGAACTGCTCTTGGCCAAAGGGAGCTACCTCACTTGAGGAACAGCTCTTATTTAGTGGCTAGTTGTGCAGAGGCACAAAGTTCTGGCTACTTGCCTCAATTTAGTACAACTCTAAAGGGCCACCCTAGCTCTGTGGCTCCCAATGGGATGGGCTGCACTGCATTTCAACTAGTCCCTCTGCTTCTTTCACAAACGCTACTGCTGAAAGCATTCTCTACTGCACTTCTTGGATACAAATCTCATCTCAAGAGTGGTTCAAGGGGATCTTGACCAAGGACAGCTTTAAAATTAAACACATGAAATTGACCAGTTTTATCTGTTTTGTTAGTTTTTAATATTTTAATTAAAAGAACCTGCTGTAATGTTCTCTATGGTAGACCTTGCCACATGTCATTATACTTGGTTAGACTATTCTCTTTGGTGTTTGAAGTTATAACTCTTGAAATAGCTTTGTAAATAGAATTAAGAACCAGGATATAACATATATTGGAACAGCCAGTTTTCCAAGTGAATATTATCCTACAATTGGCAGTAGATACTTTTTTATAAGATATCTAGACTCCCTCTATACTTACATACATGTAAGAAAAGGAAAGATAATATGCATTTAATTTCTAAGAACTCAGAGCTATCCTTAATTCCTAAGAAACAGTGGTCATAAGGTAGTCACAAAACTTACCGGCTCATCAAGTTTTATTAAGCTAGTCAATATTCCTTCATTTGGCATATTCGTAATCCTTATCAAATGACTACTATAGAATAAAGGGCAGAGAAAGTCATTCATGGGGCCTGAAGGATAGGGAGGGCTAATGTATTGAGAATCAGCTTAACAAGACAAGGGCTCTTCTTACCCCTCTTCTTACCCACTCCAAAGAGTAGTATACTTTCCCAAGGAAGGGAGAAACACCTCCACGGAAACTACTTTCAAAGGAGGGCAAATGAGACTCAAGAGCAGTATGGCTGGGCTCAGAGGTCCATGTTTTTTCTTTTGAGTTTGAGCACATGCTTGTTGTCACCCAACACCTAAATAAGTATTAGCTATGAACCAAATAACTAATAATAAGTGAGCTAATTTGCACAAATCATAAAGGGCATATCAAGCCTGTTGCTATCTATCTATCACAAGTTATATGGAAGAGCTTTATGAAATTGCTATAATACATTCACCTTATAGTATCCTTTAGATATTGCCTACGAGAAAATACCTGGGATATGAGGTATGATTTCACCATCTAACTTGTAAGCAACTCCAACTTTGATTTCCGTAAACATGTCCAAAATATCCAACTTGGTAAGTGCCAACCTAATTTTGGAAGAAAAGGCAATGTTAAAAGAGCAAACTCTTAAAGGCTCTACTATCTAATTTGATTAATGCAGGAGTAAAGAAAAATTCATGCAAAGCTGAAAGTTCTAAAGCAATTCTGAAAACTGGTTAGGATTAGATTTTAAAGCGTGCCACACAGAAGACACTAGAGGACAACGTACACTGAGTTCTTTTGCTAGTAATTGTAACAGATTTTCACTGAGGAATTTTGCTTTCTTTTTTGATTGTTTGTTTTGAGACAGTCTCACTTTGTCATCCAGGCTGGACTGCAGTGGCACAAACATGGTTCACTGCAGCCTCAACCTCCCGGGCTCAAGTCATCCTTGCACCTCAGCCTCCTGAGTACCTGGGACTACAGGCGTGTGCCACCAGGCCCAGCTAATTGTTTTGTATTTTTTGTAGAGACAAGGTCTCACCAAGTTGCCCAGGCTGGTCTCGAACTCCCAGCCTCAAGCGATCCTCCTGCCTCTCGGCCTCCCAAAGTGCCAAGATTATACGCATGAGCCACCATGCCCAGATCAGCTTTCTTATGATTGATGAACAAACAACATGTATTTGCGGGAGGACTGCCTGGAGTTAAGGTTGCACTGTGGCCATGGAACACAGCAGAACTCACTACACTACATGGATGATTAAGATACATATACATTTACACACATGCCAGCATCCCTCAGTTCTTCACTCTGGTTACCATCACCTCTACCCTTCTGGTCAGAAATTGTCAAAGAAGAGTGAGAAAAACCACATCAAGGACCTCTTCATGATACATCAAAATTTCCCAACAAACTGACCGGAAAACAGGTTTTAAAGAGAAAATCTGTGGAAATTAGATAACAAACTAAATTTGGGATTCTCGTCCAAAAATTTTATTTTTAACCTTATTGTTATTTACTGGAAGTTCAGTCTAACACAGATATGAACACATTTATTTACCTATTCATGTATAAGCATTAATAACAACTTAACTTTTCCTGAGCATTTTCGGTTAGCCAGGCAGTGTGCTATAGACTCTACGTTTCTCACCTAATTTTAAAAATACCCCTATGAAGTAGGTAATGCTGTTATATAGATTTTAGAGAGGCTAAAACAGAGGCAGAGAATGATTAACTTGCTCAGCTACACACGCATAATGCAAGATCTGAGATCTGAATCCAGGAACTCAGACATTAAGCCCATGCGCTAATCACTAGGTACATCGCCTCCCCTCTGTACATGCTCATGGTGTTTGTGCTATCCACCTATCTATCCAGCTGTCTGACTATGTACCCTATTCTGCCTGCCTCTATACTTACATACATGTAAGAGTATCAAGATTCTTTTCAACAACCTTGGATGTCTAGGAGGATAACTTGGGGTCCCTCTCCTTGTGTACCCTTCCCCCTATATCTTGGTCTACTTCTGCTTGGCACTACAATTTCAATATGGAGTCTAAAGAGTGAAATTTTCCTATTAAGGTACTCCACAAAATTAAACCTATGGCCATTAATCATCTATGATTTCCTGAAATATTTTTAAATGTTTCTGAAGAATACTCACGCAGTAAATCCATTGATCATATGAGCATATTTGAGCAAAACGAGGTCCAACCAGCCACATCTTCTTTTCCTTCCAGTGGTTACACCAAACTCTCTACCTCTTGTTTGTAGTAATTCTCCAATTTCCTACAGAAGAGAAAATAGAACTTTAGGATTAGAATAGCAGTGCTATATATTTGATGGAATAATATATACTAGAGACTATAGCAAAGCCTCTGTGAGATAAACATCTTTCAGGTAATAACTAAATTGAAGATAGAATTCCACAGAGATGATGGATTTTATCTGAGGGAGGCATTATTTGGAATGCTTCATTTACTACCATTTTTTAAAGTCAGTATTTTTTACAATGTTATACAGACAACTTCCTAAAATTTAGATTGACAGATTAAGAAAAAAACTGAGTATTTATTAAATAAACGAATCCAGCCAATTCTTCCTTCCTGGAAACCATAAGGCAAACATATCTAAGAAGTCATTGATATCATAATGCCCTTCTGAAGAAAACTAAGATCAAAAACATGCTCAAATATCTAAGCTAAGGTCACTTCCTACAATTTGTTTTACCTATGATCTACCCAAGTCCTTGATTTGCCCCTTTCTGCTTAAAGCTATCATTTCATTATCTCTTATAGTCTGGCATCATTACAATTACACAGTTTTTGTTTATTTTTGTTGCCTTTATTTTTTTGAGAAAGAGTCTCACTCTGTTGTACAGGCTGGAGTGCCATGGTGCCATCTCAGCTCACTGCAACCTCTGCCTCCTGGGCTCAAGCGATCCTCCTGCTCAGCCTCCCCAGTAGCTGGGACTACAGGTGCTCGCCACCACACCCAGCTAATGTTTGTATTTTTTTTAGTGACAGGGTTTCACCATGTTGCCCCGGCTGATCTTGAACTCCTGGGCTCAAGTGATCTGCCTGCCTCTGCCTCCCAAAGCGCTGGGATTATAGACAGAGGCCACCATGTCCAGCCAAAATTATGTATTTAGGAAAACGTTGTTCTGACCAATCTTGCAAATTGAGTGAAAGGTACAGGAGACAATAATTCATTAAGAAAAAAAAAGAAGAATGAATTTTTCATACATTTTGATTATTTACTTAGAATAGGCTTACATTTTCTTGCTCTGTAGGAAAGGCACCAATACCAACTCTAGTTGTATAAGCTTTCACAACTCCATACACTTCTCCAACATTTTGAGGGGGCATACCCAAACCAGTACAAACACCTCCAACAGTACAATTTGAAGAGGTTACAAAAGGGTAAGTCCCTAAAAACAGAACCAGACATTAAAATATACTATACACATAAACAACACATTTTAAAACAGAAATACCATTATAATTCTACATTTGAGTATATTTAGGTATCTAACAGATCTGAACTGTAACTGCTCCCTCAAAGTCCCAATGTTTTACTTTTTATTCATTTTAGCTGTAACGATATAAAAACGAGGTTAGAGCTTTAACTGAAGTGCTTACCAGAGCGGCTCCTTGAATGCATGTACAGTTACTGACTCAGCTCTTTACGGTAGCTACTCACTTAATGGATTATGAAGAAATTTAATGCTGAAACTCATCTACATGTTTTCAGAGTTCCCTGTTAGTGTAAAACAAATATGACTCCCTCATATGAATATTTAAAGTGTTGTAGCAATCTGGAGTGATGGCAACACAAGAATTTTGTAGTATTCAACATTTCCCCAGCTTTTAATCTCTACTTAGGGAATAACCATCAAATTACAAGAGCTAGTTAAAGAGTGGCATACTTTCTCACCCCCAAAGGTCTCATTCATATTTAACTATTCACTCCACCAAGTAGACACTCTGTTTTCTTTCCGGACTGGCTAGGCATAGTACGGTATAAAAAATACGTATCTACTACACAGAAATACACTTTCTTCAATAGTTTACTTGGAGACAAAAGCCCATGAAATGTCAGTAAAAGCTGAGAACAATCAGACTAATCATGAGAAATCATATTTAAATGAAACGGTCAACAAACTAATGAGGCAGTAGTTTGAAGAAAGAAGTTAAGCATTAATTAACCTTTTGAAGATAAAGGAAATGCTCTGAATTCAGAGTCTCATGCCCAGGGAATTAATTTATATAAATAGGCTTTTATAAATCTTGCTTAATAATAATGTACACATTTTTAAAAGGTTGAATTAAAGATGCATATTCTTCCACAGAATTTATCTTACCTTACAGTTCCAGGCATTGAAACTGAACCATAAACCAATGAAAACCACAATTTACAGAACCTCAGACCTACTGAACTCAAATGATGATTTTATTTTTCTAATAAAATAGGGAACTTAACACATGTATTGTGTGTTCTGTAATATTCCTTTAAAAAGAGTGCCACAAGATGACAAACTTTCATCATTCCTGAATATACAAGCTAAAAACATTGTTTTAAAACTCCTTAATGCTAACATTACTTATTTATATCTTAACTACTTAGGCTTCAGTTAAGCTCCTTTAACTATAAATCATATCTTACTTACCAAAATCAATATCTAATAGTGCTGCATTTGCACCTTCTACCAAGATTTTCTTTGGTGGTCCATGTAGGGCCTCATATAGGAAATAAACTCCATCTCTCACCATTGGTTTAATCCTTTCCATATAACCCTATACACAAAGACAACAACCAATTTCCATGTATATTAATAAATGTTTAACATAACCAGAACAAGAATAAATTACCTGACTTTATGACATGAAAACTGACAAACGCAAAGCAGAAAAGGACTGGTGACGGTGCTCACTCTATTGTAACATTTGGATTAGCTTTCATCTCTCATGCTGATTTTCCAGGAACAGAAAAGAGGCATTAGCTCAACAAAAACTAGAGATACAGTGAAATTCAAAGGTTCTATATTAACCTCACTGCAAATAAAACCCTCTCAGCAAAGTAGTCATACTTCATAAAACAGCTTTCAGGAAAATAAAAATAAATGACTATATTACATTGTGCTTTTAAATTTTGTGAGGTATTTGAAAAGTTGCATTTATAACGTAAAAACCATGATTTTTTAAATTTTATTTCATTTTTTGAGACAGAGCCTTGCTCTGTCACCCAGGCTGAAGTACACGGTGGGAACATGGCTCACTTGCAGCCTCGACCTCCCAGGCTCAAGCAATCCTCCCACCACAGCCTCCTGGGTAGCTGCACCACCACCATGACCACCTACATTTTTTTTTTTTTTTTTTTTTTTTTTTGGTAGAGGTGAATTTGCCCATGTTGCCCAGGCTGTTCTCAAGTGATCCACCCACCTCAGCCTCCAAAGTGCTGAATTACAGGTGTAAGCCACTGTGTCTGGCCAACCATGAATTCTGAAACTTGCATCAGAGTGATTCTCAAAATGTGGTGAGGGCCACAAGTTACACTGCCAAGTATGCAACTATTAGTGATTGATTGCTGTTATTCTTTTAAATTTTATCCCATTACTGTAACATTATCTATCTCTACACTATTACTAGTAGATAATGTCCAATACTATGTAACACATGGGCATTATAAAAATTTCTCAAAGCATTTAATTGTTAGTACTACTGCTTAACTTCAGAACTCCATTAAAAATGTAAAATAACCAAGAGCTTCCCCTAAGGCCTTATAGTATAACTGCATGAAACCTAGGTTCAACTATGTTTAAATATGTAGACTATTATGGAAATTCCAGAACCTACTCATGAACCCACCTGAGTGTGTTAATACCCACTGATAAATGTATAGATCACTCCTTGGCTCTAGCCTCCAATTTCTGACTTATTCCTGTTTTAGTTCTATTTTCATGCCTGAAATGACCACACTAGTCATCCCACTTGTTTCTTAAAGTTTTCTGGTTCAACATACATTACCTATAAGAATCTTCTTACCCAATTCTATTTATTATTATTCATCTACTTTACATTTATGTGGAACACATATAAAACGGAATTGAAAAGCCATACTCATACTTTGGCAAGTAAATATTTCCAAGTTGCTAGTCAAAAAGTTAAAATATTTGTTGCATAATAGACTGGGTATGGTAGCTCATGCCTGTAATCCCAGCACTTTGGGAGGCCAAGGCAGGTAGATTGCTTTAGCTCAGGCATTCAAGACCAGCCTGGGCAACATGGTGAAAACCCATCTCTACCAAAAAAAAAACCTAGCAGGGTGTGGTGGTGTGCCCATAGTCCCAGCTACTCGGGAGGCTGAGGAGGGAGGATCCCTTGAGCCTAGGAGGTCAAGGCTGCAGTGAGCTGTGTTCATGCCACTGTATGAACTGTGTGACAAAGTTCATACAGTTCATACAGTTCTCGCTTTGCCTGGGTGACAAAGCGAGACCCTGTCTCAAAAAACAAAATAAAACAAAATATTTATTACATAACTGAATAAAAAGAAAATGGCAGTCTATTTGTAACAGCAATCAGTGCACTGAAATGCAAATACCTAACATTTAAAACGTTCCTTGTAGGTCATATTTGTTTAGAACTTAGTGATTGGGCAGACCTAAGGTCTGCATTTATTTTAGAATGGCACATGAGGTTTGCAGATTCCTACTCAGTTCTGGAACTGATACTGATACTTATTTATAGATGAGAAGAAATAATAATCAGATTCACAGGAAACAGTTTGAAGTTCATCGAATGAAGAAGATAGGAATTTCAACTACTGACCAATGTAAGCACCACTGACACCTAATAGTTGCCAAGAAAAGACTAATCTTTGGTCAATTACCTTATTTGTCTCTTAAGAGTGCAGTGCTAAAGAAACTGGCCCTATGGGGTTATCCTTCCTAAACGGGTTGGTTAGCCTGAAAAGTTCTCACTCAGCCCTCTGCTGATCTATCCTCCAACTGTTAGAAGTGATTTTTAGATAATGCAAATCTAGTCTTCTTTCTGTTCAAAATTTCCTAGTAGCTTTTCATTATCTCCAGGATAAGATCTAAACTCCCTGTCATTGCACATGAGACGTATGATCTGGACTCTTGTCTCCTTTACTTCAGGTACTCCTCCTGCTCCCTACTCAGTATTTTATCTAAACCATATCATGTAAAGTCACTCAAACATACCATGTCCAAGACAAACAATTTCCTTTGCCAGTTCTTACCCAAAGCCTGCAGGAATGAAAAGATCTAGATGCCAATTTGGCAAACAAGTATTAAAAAGAACATTAAAGAGGTCAGAAAGCATTACCTTGAGTTTTTGTAATTCACCTTCAATGTCTATTTCCAAAGTAGGATATATAGATTTGTATTGGTTAGCTAGAACTTTAAACCTGAGAAATACAGATAAATCAAGACATTACCACTCTGTACAAAAATATTTAAAATAATATCATTTGATTTCAATGATTTCTGCAGATGGTAAATGATCTTAACAGCAAATTAATCCGGAAACTGACATTACCTTCTGAGAAATAAAATTTAATAAAGGAGATCAGCCATATGAATACATAAGACATTCAAATTATTTTTTTACTCAAGTTTAGGCATAGCGACAATATAATTAAGGTGATATGTGTGTAGGGAGGGAAGAGAAATGGAATGACTAAAATCTGTAAACACAAAAGACTTAAATCTGAATTAACTGTATTATACTGTACCATAACAAACAGGGGCAGTTTACATGATACTTGTAAAAGAGAGACAGGCAGACATTAGCAATCTAACATTCTTCACTAAAGGTGCACTGCCAGTGCAGACAAATGTTACGTGGTTGATTGAAAGGGGATACAATGTCATTATAGCTTTGATGCCACTTGTTATTATAGACAACCAACTCCCTATCATTGAGTCACTGAGTAGCTTTTTGATGACTACTAGGTTTCCCATGGAGATCTGGCTACAGAAAGCATGTGTTAACGTAGCATCTCTGTTTTTCAAGTTGAGCTTGGTATACAATAATTCACCAGTATCTGAGAGCTAATGATTTCTGGGTGGGAGGACATAAGGAGTCTCCAGGCCTGAAAATGCAAGGATCAAGACCTTAGAATGTAACCATCCAAGGACTGCCACAGCCCCTGGAATCATTCTATTTCTCAGGAAACCATTCCATATTTCAATTCTTAAATATAACTCTGCCTTTGTCTTCTTAGGACATTCTATTAAACCACTGTCATGTTATTTTTCATGAAGTTAATCTGTAACTAAAGATTAAGTATAATGTAATAAAGATAACTTGAACATTTCAAATCTTAAAAAGGCCAACCACCACTATTTTAACTAGAACACTGACTGTATCATTTTACATCCTAGGTTTTAAAAAAAAATCTAAAAATGCATTCATTCCTTCCATTTTCAAACACAAGTTAGTTACCTCTCAGAGAAGCCATCAAAGTCAGAAACAAGGTCGCACATCCTGAGTCCACTCCGAGCAGCTTTGGACGAATAAACTGGGCCAATGCCCTTTTTTGTTGTACCCAAACTTAAAAACAAATCCAAACAAGCTTTAAGTTAGACAAGAAAGATGTAGGTCTTGTGGTCAGATCATTACAGTGAATAAAGTTACATATGACTATTTTCTGTTTATATTATTTCTTGCTAAGTATATGTTCATAATCCTACTGATTTTCTCTAAAACAGGATATTCTAATACTTACTTTTCTTAAACTTCTGGTCTAGAATTAAAATATAAGGGTCTGTAAATGCTTAAACTGTACCAAAAACAAAAAACAAACAAACAAAAAACACACACACACATACTTTTTTCCTGCTTGCTCTTGTCTCTGTTGTTCCTGGATACCATCAGCTGCTTGATGAAAATCAAATACTGAGGGGAAATAAAACCACAGTTGTTGAAACAAAGATAATACACAAAAGCAAAATACACTGCATTTCAAATTACTGAAGTTATAAATCCCTTCAGCCTCATTTCAGTATAACAAATTAAACACATTTTTAAAAGTGATAATGGTAGGAGATGATAACACCAACTAGTACATTAAGATGAAAATCTGTCTGATCTTTCACTCTTATTTATTACAGTCTATACTATTTTAAAAACTAAGTCATTAAGAGGGTAATTTTGAAACATCCTGCCCTAAAATTTTACAAAGGTCAATTTACAAAAATACTCTTTTTTCTTTAGGTTCTGGACTCCTAGAATCTAGGGCTCATGTTGACACCTCCCTTTTCCTCACTAGTCTCGAGATTCCATCATCTCTCACCAAAACTGCAGTCTCCTAGTGTGTGTACCTCTTTCCATTCTTAGACATCGCTAATCCAAATGCTGTCATGCAGCCAAAGCATCTTTCCAAGACACAAATATGGCATTCACACCTCCCCTGCCCTTAAAACTCAACAGTTTTCCACTGCTCTAAAAAAAGACACAAAATTATTTTTATTATCTGGCCTCCTTGCACAGTCTACACTTTCATCTTATACTCATGCTCTGCCACCCGCACTGCCCTCTGGTCACACTGGCATTCTCTGCAGCCCTCAGCTACAAGCCATGTACTTCTGCATGAAATACTGCCTCTTTCTACACCTACACATAACTTGTACTCTTTCTCCCCTGCCAATGCTCTGAGAGTATTAGGATCATGTCAGTTTAGTCTACTAGTTGATTTCCAGTGCAAACAAGTCCTCAAACATTTACTGACTGAACAAATAGCTGGTTTATAGAAGAGGCAGAACTGGAATTTTGGTCTCTGAACTTCTAACCAAGGCTTCTTGTTTTTTGTTTTGTTTTTAAACAGTTTTATGGGAATATAATTTATATAGCACAAAATTCACCCATTTAAGATGTACAATTTACTGATTTTTAGTATATTTAACCATAGTTTCTTTTTGCTAATGAAGTCACTGTTTCCAAATAATTAAGTTGAAATGTGTAGATGTTTAACAGAAAGACTGATATGAGGTTCTTGGGATTAATGGTAGCATCTGTAAAAGAACTATTTAGAAGCATTAGAAGACTGATATTGAAGTTATAGATGGTGAAGCCAGAAAAGTCTGATAACCCAATCTAAACCCATCCTCTGATTAACCTTGCCCATAAAACCATGTATGTACTCTTCTCTACTTTCCTCCTTTTGAGACACTACTAAAACTGTCAAGGCAATCCTCCTGCCGTGCTTGGCAAGGTTAACAACCACAGCTTTTTATGATCAGCAGGTTTCCCTGGTGCTGTTAGTAGGAAAGTTTTGATACTGTACATGCTAATCAGTTATATTTCAGAAACTAAATCTATGTGATTTAGAAGTATCTAGTAAGCAATATCTGTCTTAGTGCCACACAGTTAGGTAACAGTAACACCTTTAAAGTCATATCAGTATACTGCACACCAAAAGGTATCTACAAGAATGCTCAGGGTAACAGTATTTGTAATATCCCAATATTGGAAACAACTCAAATTTTCATCAATGGCAGAATGAATGGATTTTTAAAAGTGTGAAACGGTCGTATAAAGGGATACTACACAGCAATGAAAAAGAATAAAATACTCTTTATGTAAACAATAATTTTGATCTGTAAGGGTCAGTTAATCATCATGTTCCCATTTTATTGCCCAAGCAATAGTCTTTCTCAGTTACTTGAGAGGCCAGAATAGTTCTGAAGGGCTGTTTCATTAAACCCTGAATTTGCAAATCAGTTATGACAAGATTGAGATCTTAGAGTATACCATTCTCATTTCTTTTGAATAAAAAGACATTTGAAAGTAAATGTTTTGGTTTTTATGCTCAAAGAAATTTAAAAAGCAACTGATAACCCACAAATAAATGGTTGCTGCAAAGCAGGTGAACCACATTTTCCAGACATTAATTTAGCGCCCTGTCACAGAGCTAATGCTTCCCTTGGTTTTTCTAGGCCCCAGGAAGCAATTAGTGTAATCAGAATAATTACGTTCATAAGGCTTCATCACGGCATGGAGCATTACAGCCTCCACTATTACTGTTTTGAAAGAACAGCCTTGGAATATCTGTTTCACTTTCTACAGCCTAGATATTGCAAACAAAGAAAACATCATAATTGTGCACCTTTAGTTAAGTTTATTAACAGCATTTTAAAAGTTTTAATTTACTATTATAGTTAAGTTTGATTAACATGATTAATGTTATACCATATTTAGTATGAGACTCAGAACATGTAACAGCCACTTTGCTTGCTTTCTCACATCTCCCTGAGGTCTTGGACTCAACTGTCACTTTTCAGTGAAGGCTCCCCGGCCACATTACATACAACTGTAGGCCCCTACCTCCTCCTTCAAACTGCCTGCCATTGCCTAGCTCCTTTCTCTGAATTACTATTTCTCCTCAGAACTGAGCACTATATGCCATGCTACATGGATTACACATTTCTAGTGATATGATCTGTTTTCACTAGTACACGATATGCTCCATTAAGGGATGCTTTTGGTCTTTTCTACTGCTGAATCCTTAGTGCTCAGCACCATACCTGACACAGTAGGCATGTAATACATAGATATTAAATAAAAGAACAGACACCTAACAAATCTGGATTTCATATTTAATTTTTTTAAGGGTCTCAACCACTCATTAGGCCATTTTCCCTCAATAAGTATCTCTTATAGTACAAACTGAGTTATGAGATTCAGTGAACAGGGCAAAAGTTTAATGCAATAGGTCCTTGCATTAGTGTGCTAATGTAAAGAATTGGCCAGCAATTCTTAATAATTTTAAGCAACTTAATAATTTTTAAGTTGCCTTAAAAAAATCAACTGCTTAAACCTTCTAAGTGAAATACTTGAAGGTAACTCGAGTAACGTAAAAGATGCAATTATAGCCCCTACAGCAACTACCAAAATTCATAAATTCATAAAACAAGAGGTATAGCTAGTAAGTTAACAGTGGGGATAATATTAAAAATGTTCAGTGTAAAAGAAAGCAGGAAAAGAAGAAAAATAAAGAATAAATAAAAAGAAAACAAAGAGCAGACATAAATCTAACCATAGTGATAAGTAACTATAGTAAAAGTAAATAGTCTAAACATTCCAATTAAAGGATAAAATTGTCACAATGAATAAAATGCAAGACCCAACTACATTTTGTCTATAAAAAATACATTATAAGATCCAAAGAGACAGACACACTAAAGATCATTAGAGGATGGAATGCGATACACCATGCAAATAGTAATCTTAAGGTAACTCTAGTGGCTATATTAATATCAAAGTAGATATCAGAATAAGGAATATTACCATAAAGAGGATACTGTGGTATTAACATTCATAGCTTATTAGATACTTTTAAATCACACAATAACAAATTTAGCTTCTGAAAAGTAACTAACTAGTACATACAGCATCAAAACTTTCCCACTAACAGCACCAGGGAAACCTGCTGATCATAAAAAGCTATGGTTGTTAATACCAATTCATAATGAGGAAAGGTTCAATGCATCAAAATCAGAACTGTAAACATACATGAACCTAACAGAGCTTCAATGTGCATGAAGCAGAAACTGACTGACTTCAAAAGAGAAATAGACAAATCCACAATTATTGTCAGAGGCTCAACACTCCTCCGAGTAACTGACAGAATACAGATAGAAAATCAGCTGGGATACAGGACTTGAACACCACTATCAAACAATTTGATTTAATTGGCATTTAAAGAACATGCTACTCAACAAGAGCAGAGCACATATTCTTTCTAGTGCATGAAGACCATTAACCAAACAGACCACATCCTGAGCCGGAAAAGAAGCCTCAACAAACTAAGATTAGGATCATACAGAGTATATTCTCTGTTCACCATAAAATTAAATTATGAATAGAGAGAAATCATGAAAATCTTCCAATATTTGGAAACACGAACATCATACTCAACATATAGGTTAAAATATAAATTATGTTATTTTGAACTGAATGGAAATGAATGTGTAAATAATATTTGTGGAATACAGCTAACATAATTACATGTGTTAGAGGAACACATGTAATTTTAAATGCTTACATTAGAAAAGAAAGGTCAGGAAGGAAGAAAGGAAGGGAGGGAGGGAGGAAAGGAGGGAGGAAGAGAGCGACGTCGGTCTAGAGTTCATGATCCAAGCTTCTAAAGGAACTACAAAAACGAGCAAATTTAAACCAAAGAAAGTAGGAAGAATAGAAAGAGCTGAACCCAGTGAAACAGAAAATAGAGAAAATGGTTTTTTGGAAAAAAAAAAAAACCCACAAAATCAATAAAATGGATACCATGAATAAAAGAGGGATATCACTGAAGACTACAAAGGTTACCAATAATTTGAGAAGTTAGACGAATCCATTTCTTTAGGAAACATAAATTACTAAAACTGACACAAGAAACAGAAAAATCTGAATATCCCAATATCTATTAAAGAAATAAAATTCATAATCTTCATGGAATTCATAAAAACATCCTCACAAAGATTTTCTATAAAACATTTAAACAAGAAATACTACCAACCTCACATACAACTCTTTAAGAAAAATAGAAGGCACCAAAATTGAAGAACAGACAACAAAACTAAAGAAAACCACAGAGCAGTATTTGTCAGGATAAAAACAGTACATCTTGACCAAGTACAGCACTTAAGTTAGCTGTTGGGTGTACACATATATGAATAAAACACATAAAATTCTTTCCTTTGTGGACACAACCTGTGTAAGGTGTTTTTACTGATTGGGGAACTAGTGACTGCAAAGGAAATCACTTGCCAGAGGATCCATAATCAAGATTTGGATCCAGATCCCTCAGTTTCAAAGCCTATAGTTTTTTCCATTGTACTACGCTCCATATCACCCACCACACTTTTATACAGAATCTCATACTACGGAAGATTTTAAAAATCCTTGGAAGTAAATGAACATTTTGAAGCATCTATATGCCAGATCCTGTACTCAGTTCTGAAATGAGAATTCTAACACCTTAAATTACAATGGAGCTTACAGAACTGTCCATTCAGTGTCACGGTGACAGGGGAGTCTCTAAAGCAAAGACGGAAGCAGTTTCACAGCAACGATTTTCCAATTAGTTTTTTGATTTTTTAATGATACTATTTACTCCTTTTCACTATTATAGAATTGATTATATTAAAATACATGTTTCTGACCGGGCAGTGGATTACGCCTGTAATCCCAGCACTTTGGGAGGCCGAGGCGGGTGGATCATTTGAGGTCAGGAGTTCAAGACCAGCCTGGCCAACATAGCGAAACCCTGTCTCTACTAAAAACACAAAAAAATAAGCTGGGCGTGGTGGGACATGCCTGTAATCCCAGCTACTCAGGAGGCTGAGGTATGAGAATCGCTTGAACCCAGGAGGCGGAGGTTGTAGTGAGCCAAGATCATGCCACTGAACTCCCGCATGGGTGATAGAATGAGACCCTGTCTCAAAAAATAATAAAATAAAAAAATAAAATAAAAAATCTGTTTCTTGTAAGACTTTTTAAGGACCCTAGGAAGTGAACCTTATAGGCTTATAGTAACACACATTTTAAAGCACAACACATCCATTATTACACATATTACTACTAACACCTAAATTTTAGTCTGAGCTTATCTTCTACAGGCTCAGTCCTCTGTCAGAAATACTTTCCTTTAAGGACATACATTTATGGGAAAAAAATCATTATTAAAGAAATATAATTGTAAATAAAATAATAATATTCATTTACATTTATTATGGCTTAAACTACATTACTTTCCTTTTACTCTAGGCCTTTTTACCCCTTCCCATACTACTTTGTTGTTTTGTTTTGGTGGTCTAAAATAATTAAGTAACTTGCTTAACCTCTATGCTGTACCAAGGATGGAATTGTTAAGTGACAGACCCAAAGCAGTTGCAATGAAGAAGGAAGATGGAGAATCCAGACAGGAACAGGGATATGTCTCTTAACACGATGTTCTTTCCAACAGGCTGGTATCATCAGCATACATTTATATCTGCACATAGCCCAACTACCTGATTACATACGCTGATGCTCTATGTTATTCAAAGGGCAGGTATTAGGGATTATTCTGTTTTGCAATCCTAAATTGTGGTATGCTGATTAAGATAGTGAATTTCACAGAGCAGACAACATAACAAAAAGCCATTAGAACGTTCTGAAGATAAGTAGTGGTTTTTATCATCTAATGCAGTGCCTTGCTTTATCCACAATAGGAACAATGGATACCAAAAAGCTACACATAAAATCACGAAGGTAAAAGAAGATAAAGTTGACTATTGGTAACAGAATAAACAAAGCTAATGAGTAGTAAGTATAAGCAAACAAAAACGCTACAAAAGTACTTCACAAAAACATATTTTTCCTTATACACCTAGGAAACTGCCAATAAGAAAGAATATTGGTAGGGCTGGAGGCAGTGGCTCACGCCTGTAATCCCAGCACTTGGGGAGGCCAAGGTGGGCAGATCACCTGAGGTCAGTAGTTCAAGACCAGCCTGACCAACATGTGAAACCCTATCTCCACTAAAAACACAAAAATTAGCTGGGCATGGTGGCACACCTGTAATCCCAGCTACTCAGGAGGCTGAGGCAGAAGAATCGCTTGAACCCAGGAGGCAGAGGTTGCAGTGAGCTGAGATCACCCCACTGCACTCCAGCCTGGGTGACAAAGCGAGACTCCATCTAACAACAACAAAAAAGTATTAGTAACACTGTATTGCTTCCTATATGATGATAGCACAACAGTGATATATAAGTTTAAAATTCAAGTCCTAAGATAAGCTAACAAACAAAATATAAATATTTTTAAAATCAGAAGCTTAAAATAGGCAACACAAATGACAACCTCCTTCTTCTGAAAACCAAAACAAAACCCTTTCGTCCTTATCCAAATTGCATGTTATCATCTGGGACTGCAAAGTTGCTTTGTTTCCTTTGGTTTTTGTCTTGGTTATGCATCTATGTTATTAATTATTCTGGAAAGGTGCCGTTTAAATAAAAGTATTACTGATAATACTATCATAGTTTAAGTATAACCAGGTGAAATATAAACTACTCACAAGCTTAGTTTTATGTTAAATACAGAAGTATTCCACATTTTATCCAGTTACACTAACAAACAGCTATCAAAGTCTTTGCATTCAAGGATAACCAGCCTACTAATAGACAACATACAGGAGGACAACAAATATTGACATAAAACTGTTTTTCAGTAAAAACAAAAAATTGTTCTTTTCAGACTTTACAGATTAAGAAGCCTGTGGCACACAATGTAACAAAGAGGCCAGTTTCATATAAAAACTGTATGTTAATCCAATAGAGTTTACTTTAAATAAGTTATTTTATTTGGGTTACTAGGATTATACCTAGGATTCAAGTCTGTGGCTATTATCTGGAGGGACCATTATTTGATTTCTGTGCTTGGCTGATAAATACTGTTAAGTATCTTGATGAGGCTGCCTTTTAAATAGAGGCCAGTGTTAAAACTAGAGCAGCTACTGCCACAGGACACATACATATTTAAATACAATTTAAGAGTGCAGATCAATCATAGAGAAGTTTCCTACATGGTTTTTACTGATTTCTTTTCTGGTTATTGTCTCTTAATCATGTCACTGCTAATTAACAATTCTATTGGTTCTGAAAGAGAAAAATAACAGAAAAGAAAATCCCAAATTTATTGGTAGTGGCTGAAATTTAGGTTAGTCTGAACAAAATCTGAATCACTTAAAAAGCAATAATTATTACATTTTAGGCACAAAGACTCACTCTATCTGCAAAATGGTACACTTACTTTTACAAGAATATTACATGTACAAACAAATGTTCTTTGCATTTGATGTGGCTTATTTTTAAATAGAATTAGAGATGTCTTATGAAATACCACTTGTATTACAAATTTGCTTAGCTAACCTTTTTTTCAAATAGGTAAATTTCAGCCTAGATTTTGTTAAAAAAGAAAAAAAGTTAATAAGTTTTTTTTGTATTTAGAACTCAAATACTACAATCCATCCTACTTACGCTAAATAAAAATAAAAGACAAAATTAGTTACTAAATACTTTCATTTGATAAATTTCTGATAAAAAGATAGTTACAAATAAATGCAATATATCCACCTTACCAATATGAGCTCTGTCAGATATAATAAGCCTTTTTTCCCAGCCTTCTAGTCCTGGAGAGAAAGGGGAAAAAGATATATTTTAATTGAATATTCTGTACAGCAGCTTTAAATCTTAATTTCTTTTTTTTTTTGAGGCGGAGTCTCACTCTGTCGCCCAGGCTGGAGTGAGTGGCGTGATCTCGGCTCACTGCAAGCTCCGCCTCCCGGGTTCCCGCCATTCTCCTGCCTCAGCCTCCCGAGTAGCTGGGACTACAGGCGCCGCCACCTCGCCCGGCTAATTTTTTTTTGTATTTTTAGTACAGACTGGTTTTCACCGTGTTAGCCAGGACAGTCTCATTCTTCTGACCTCGTGATCTGCCCACCTCAGCCTAAAATCTTAATTTCTTTAGAAATATGTCTAGGCCGGGCATGGTGGCTAATGCCTGTAATCCCAACACTGTGGGAGGCCAAGGCAGGTGGATCACTTGAGACCAGGGGTTTGAGACCAGCCTGGGTAACATGATAAAACCCCATCTCTACTAAAAATACAAAAATAGCTGGGCGTCGTGGTGGGTGCATCTAATCCCAGCTACTCGGGTAGCTGTGGCACAAGAATCACTTGAACCCGGGAGGCAGGGGTTGCAGTGAGCCAAGATTGTGCCACTACATTCCAGTGTAGGCGGTGGAGCGAGATGCTGTCTCAAAAAAAAGGAAATACAATGTCTAAAAGCATTTTTTACTGAAGCAATCATGTTTGTATCTTTTCTTCTGTATAGGAAACATCATGTCTAACAAGAGTTTTCTCACGTCATTCATTCCATACATAAATTCACTCACATGCTATCTTTCCAAATGTCTTGCTCTAAAAGCTCCAAATTCAAACCAGTCACATCCACATAAAATATTTCTAGGAATCCAAAAGGCAAATGGTAGAAAAACATCATGCTGGGGAGGTTAGGTACCTGGCAGGCAGAAATTTGCTAGGGGAGGTTAGGTACCTAGCAGGGAGAAATTTGACAGAAGGGAGTTAATTTTAGGAATGGCACCCTTTCCCAAAAGATAATTATTATAAAAAATATGGGCCGGGTGTGGTGGCTTATGCCTGTAATCCCAGCACTTCAGGAGGCCAAGGCGGGCAGATCATCTGAGGTCAGGAGATCGAGACCATCCTGGCCAACATGGTGAAACCCTGTCTCTACTAAAAATACAAAAATTAGTTGGGTGTGGTGGCGGGCGCCTGTAATCCCAGCTACTCAGGAGGCTGAGACAGGAGAATCGCTTGAAGTCAGGAGGCAGAGACTGCAGTGAGCCGAGATCGTGACACTGCACTCCAGCCTGGTGACAGAGCCAGACTCCATCTAAAAAAAAAAAAAAAAGAAGCACAGAAAATAAGCTTTTTCACTAATTCTTCTAAGGTACTACTGTTAATTACTGTACTTACTACAGTGAATTGTAAGGAGATATATCTGTCTCCCCATTTAACTGTGGAAGACCTAGAGGAGAGGCTGTGAGTTTTCATAGCACAGGGCCTGTTATCCAATAAGTGGTTTTAAAAATTATTTTTGGCTGAGAGCAGTGGCCTATAATCCTAGCACTTGGGGGACCAAGGCAGGAGGATTGCTTGAGGCCTGGAGTTTGAGACCAGCCTGGGTGACACAGAAAGACCCCATCTTTACAAAAATAAAAAAAATTAAAAACCTGGCCAGGCATGGTGGCACGTGCCTACGGCCCCAGCTACTCGGGAGGCTGAAGTAGGAGGGCTGCTTAAGCCCAGGAGGTAGAGGCTCACTACTGTGTTCACACCACTGCACTCCAGCATAGATGACAGAGCAAGACCATGTCTCCAAAAAAAAAAAATGCTTGAATGAACAAATGAATCCAAATTGATGTTTTTCTTTAAAGACAATACTAAAGACAAACTGCCAAGCTGCAAACATTTCAAAACTAATCTTTAATAATGAAAAATTTGTTTTTACCTTAAGATTTATTTTTAAAATATATTCCTTAAAGATTAAAGAGGAGAACCTCCTCGGTAACGTGCGAAAAAGTAAACCTGGAATATTAAGCGTCCCCCTCTATGGTTGTTTCGACACACAAACATGTACTCTAAAATTAGTTTAGGAGATACAATAAAGAAAATAGGAGCAAGAAATTCAGTAAAGTGGAAAAACAGCAGGGTCGGATAGGCTAGAAGGAAAAAGGGAGTAGGGCAAACTTAATAAAGGAGATGAGAACAGAGAGCAGCACCAATATAAAAATCACAGACTAGGTCACAGGTAAAAACGCAGAAAGGAGAAAAGAGATAGTAGCAAAGACAGGGTTCTGTAAAATCACATTTAGTGGTTAAGAACACTTGAGGACAGATTGCTACTTTTAAACCTGAACAGGGCAGGACGCGGTGGCTCACATCTGTAATCCCAGCACTTTGGGAGGCCAAGGCTGGCGGATCACAAAGTCAGGAGTTGGAAACCATCCCAGCTAACATGGTGAAACCCCATCTCTACTACAAATACAAAAAATTAGCCAGGCATGGTGGCACGTGCCTGTAGTCCCAGCTACCCGGGACTGAGGCAGGAGAATCGCTTGGACCCAGGAAGCAGAAGTTGCAGTGAGCCGAGATCGTGCCACTGCACTCCAGCCTGCATGACAAAGCAAGACTCCATCTCCAAAAAAAAAAAAAAAAAAAAACCTGAACAATACTTTTAACAGTAATTGCGTCTTTTAAATGTAAGCTAATTCAAGGGGAAACTATACTAATGATTCTCCTCAATTATGTATTACAGGTTGAGATTCCCTTATTCCAAATACCAGAATATTTCAGATTTCAGATTTTTTTTGGACTTTGGAATATTTGCATACAAATAATGAGATCTCTGGGGGGTGTGGCTCAAATATATACATGAAATTCATTTATGTTCCACATACACCTTATACACATCAACTGAGGCAATTTTATACAGTATTTTAAATAATTTTGTGCATGAAAAAGTTTAGGGACCCTCCTCCTCCTCCTTCTCTTCTTCCTCCATCCTCCTCCTTCTCCTCCCGCCTCCTCTTCCTCCTCCATCTGTGGTTGTTTACCAATACCAACATTCTTGACTCTGAATTTATATGCTGATAAGTAATCATTTCCTTACAGTGATTCACATGCAAGTATTTAACAGTAAAAAAATATGACATACCACTAATACAGTGGAAAAATGTGTTCAGGGTAACTAAGCAGTACAGCAGCAGCACCAGAGTATCTGGATCAGCTGGCAAACAGCAGTAACAACAAACAGTAGGCTTTCTGTCTCCATCTGTATTCTATATCTCATTTATTACCACAGTTGGAACATGCAGCCAGCACACATGCCACTTTATCACCCTCTGTGGGCACGCTTGTGTGGGGGAATCTGGGTGTGCACGGAAAAGATACATGAAAGCTGAAAGGGGAGAAGGCCTTTTCCCCTTGGAGACACTGAATAAACTGTGTGTGCGCCTATGTTTGGACTGTGACTCGTTGCATGAGGTTGGGTATGGAACTTTCCACTTGTGTCATGTCTGTGTTCAAAAACTTTCAGATTTGGGGAGCATTTTGGATTTCAGATTTTTGTATTAGAGATGTTTAAACTGGGTTTGTATTATCAAATTCCCCTCACACCCTAATGAGATGGCCAAGGTTAATGTAAACACACCTCTAAAAATCCAAGAGATCGGTAAAGGCAAGAATCCAGGACTATTTCTTTTAAGAAGATGGGCATGGATATATTGCATAAAAGCAGCATTTACTTCATTTAGAAGGAGGGCCCTAAACAATTCCCCTTACATCTGTGTAGCATGGGGGGGTAAAAAAATTCCCTTTTATCCCTGAGTTGTAGCAACAAAAGGAGAGCTCTAGACCTTTTAGAAAACAAGACTGACAGTGTGCAAACTCAGGAATTTCCTAGTTTTGCCACCCACATATTGTAATTCTAGCTACCTTAAGATAAAGTTTACAGATAACCAATGTGTAAAAAAATCAAGACTTAACATAATGACGTAAGATGTTAGTCTTCTGTTTAAAACAGTGTTTATAATAAATAAAACTTAATAACTGACATTAAAAATTTGTCCTATAGTAGCCTGCAATTTTAAAGTATAAGACAAACATGTTGTTTGCCTGGCATAAGATCCTAATAAAACTTTACAAAGAACAACTGGTTACCTAGTAGACTCATTCTTTCATACCTTTTCCTTTTTGAACATTTTTCTCTGCTTCTTCAAACAATCCAGGTAGATGAATTACCACACCATTTCCTAAAGGAAAACCAACAAATCCCAGCCGTAAGCCACTATAATTACAACTCAGACACATGTAACTTAAAGGACATTCTGATTTACCAGGGTGTTACCACAGAAATGATTCCAAGTTTTCACAGGAGTATAATTTAAATACATGATGGAACATAATATAGTGAATATTTTATGCTAGAATTATACTCAACGAAGTTGAAAATTTCCTGGAAACAAAGTGAAATATGTTTTTGAAGGAAACTATGTTAATTTTAAGCAAATGGAACATGGTCACAGTACACACTAAATCAGTATCTTTCAGGTTGGGGAATCACACCCTATCAGGTCACAAGTCAATTTAGTAGGTTGTGATAAGGATTTTTAAAAATTAAAAAGTAGAGTAGAAAAGATCAGATTGCATCATGTATTGTAAGGGTTCAAAATAAACTCATGAACCTCTCGTATTTCTTACTATGAGTCATGGTTGAAAGTATTTGGGGAAAAAAGTATTTGGAAAACTGATTCGATGATCTAATACTTCTTTATAGAATTAAGATTGTCAGTGAGCACAAATGAATGCAAAGTAATCATTCCAAAAAGTATTACTGTTAAAACACCTTACAGTGACAAATAGCCAAAGTCAGGTATATTCCAGAAGGTATCAAGGTCAAAATTAGTAAGAGATCAATGAACCACCTGGTTAGTGAGAGATGAAATCAGTTTTGATGATAAAAAATAAATGCCATTATCAATTGGTGGGGGGAATCCCCATGCAGCTCAGTTTATATACTTACCAATGAATGCAGTGACATTTGGATTAATTATTCCACTGGGTAAGAGATGAAAATCATATTCCACAGAATCCACAACAACTGTATGGCCAGCATTATTTCCACCCTAAAATATAAGACAGGGGAAAACTAAGTTTGATGATAAACGTGACAAATAACATATCTCCTTCCAAAGTGAATTAATGACTTCCTGCTAAAAGGTCAACTTAAGAGAGTCCAAATATTTGCCACCTTTACTGATTCGTGAAAGGCTTTAAAATAGTTTGGCTGTCTCCTTTCCCCACTGTAGTACACTTGAGTGATTATTCTGAAAGAATATGGACATTGGGGAATTCAGGTTTCTGAAAGACAGAAAATCATACTCCTTCTTAAAAGACGGAAAAAAGTGAAAAAAATACATAGAGCAGTCAGTCTGTCTTTGGCTATGGAGGATTATGGCAATCTAACTAACCATGACATTCCATCTACACACAAAAAAATCTCTAAGAGAAGAGTAATCTATCCAGTTACCCTAACTTGATGTAAATATGCATATAATTCCCATCGTCTTAAGACTCTGTCAAGCAACTCTGTGACCTGAAATTTGTATTCTTACATGGACTTAACAAGAATCTCCCCCAAATATTGGTTATCCTTGGCCTCTAATTTATATACCAGTCTTTTAGGTTTGGTTAGTGACAGATCCCCAGAACCTGCTCACCTCTGGATAAAATAATATCGTGCATCAAGGAACTGCTAACACTGAGAATCATACTATAAACTCATGATGAAATTTGCTTTCTACGAAGCTTATGCAGAAATAACAAAATGGAAAAAGTCAAATTACAAAAATTAGGTACAAAGGAGACTAAATATTAAGTAACCAGATAACTTTTCTAATTTATATGTTTAAAAAACATGGAAGAAAACACAAGTTTTCACACTTGTCAGCTGATTACATATATGTTTAAACTTCTATACAACATTAACAGACTGTTAAAAGTAAACTCGGGATGTATTTGCAACAAATAAAAACTTTAACAACATCCTCCTATAACAAAAAATACCAATCAAAACTATATTGCCTGAGAATGAGGGCTGATCACGAGGCTATTTTTCTTTCATTTTTAATTTTTGTTGGTACGTAGTAGTGCATATATTTATGTGGCGCATGAGATATTTTGATACAGGCATATGAGTAATAATTATATCTGGGTAAATATGGTATCCATCAACTCAAGCATTTATCTTTTCATTGTGTTACAATCTAATTATACTCTGAGCTATTTAAAAATGTATAATAAATTACTGTTGTAGTCCCCTGTTGTGCTGTCAAATACTACATGTATTTTTATCTAACTATATTTGTATACCCATTAACCATCTCCCCACCCCACCCCCAACTCTTACCACTACCTTTCCCAGCCTTTGGTAACCATCCTTCTACTCTCTATCTCCGTGAGTTCCATTGTTTTAATTTTTAGCTCCCACAAATAAGTGGGAACATGTGAAGTTTGTCTTTCTGTGCTTGGCTTACTTCACGTAACATAATGACCTCCAGTTCCATCCACGTTGTTGCAAATGACAGGAGGATTTCATTCTTTTTTTAGTTGAATAGTACTCCACTTCGTTTATGTACCACATTTTCCTTATCTGTCTGGGTAGATATCTGCCTGCTAACTATTCAAGGCTCATGGGCTTTTTAGCTAGCAGGTAATGAATCCTGCCAGAACTCAGTCCTTCCCTTCAAGGCAGCAACTTCTCTTCTGGCCCAGGGTATGTCTAGAAATTTGTGCTGGAACTAGGGCCTGTGATGGGGAGCTCAGGAACTTCCCCCAGTACCCTGTCCTACTGTGGCTGGGATCCAAATTGCAAGACCAAATCCTCCGGACTCTTCCCTCTCCTCTCCTCAAGTGGAGGGAAGGAGCCTCTCCTGGAGCTGCATGCTGTGCTGCCTGGGGTTGGGGGAACGGGGGCACAAGCACTCCCTTGGCTATCTTGGCTGGTGTCTCACTAGGTCACATGCCCCCCAAGTCCACTGGCTCCAAGTCCAGCACAACACCGGAACTTGCCCAAGAACTGCAGTCTTTGTGGCCCAGACTATCTTCCAAATTTATTTAGGACCCCAGAGCACTTTAGCATGTGCTGGCTAGGTTTGCTAGAACTCAGGTTCTGACCACTAGGATGGGCAATTCCCCTCTGGTAAGGGCTGGTCTGGCTGAGTTCTGCCCAGTGTTGCTTTCTGTTGTGACAAGGGCAGCACTGAGTTCCAATGCAAAGTCCTAGGATCACTGCATTCTCCTGCCTCTAAGCGTACAGATTCTCTCTCAGTGCCCCATGGTTGCTGGGGGTGGGGAAGGGGTGGTATCAGCAATTCAAGACTGTCTTTCCTACCCTCTTCCATGCCTCTTTCAGTGATAGGAAGTTAAAACCAGGTACCTGATTTTTGGTTCTTATGAAGGTGCTTTTTTGTGTGGATAGTTATTAAATCTGGTGTTCCTGTGGGAGAACAACTGGTAAAGGGTTCTGTCTGACCATCTTCCCCCATTCTGCCCGATCCACAAGATTATTTTTAACAAATTGAATGTTACTACTTTTACCAAATCATCACCAATTATGAGGTCACAAAAATGCTAGAAAAATTGGCCCTGCTAAAAAAAAAAATCTTCAAAAAGCAAGTACCTATTTACATGGTGTTTTGCACTGTATAAAGCAAAGAACTCTTTGAAGACTAAGGTATGGCATATATTTAAAATAAAAAAACTTGGCAGTGTTGGACTAAAATCTGTAAGACACACTTTGGAAAGGCACAGGCAGACAGAAACAGGGATGATGGGCAACACCTTCAGGTGACACCAAAAAGGAAACAGGTGCATTAGTTTTTACTATTTATTTTTAAATAGGAAATTCCCACATATGATACAGACACCAAATGGCACAGAAGTATGCACAGTAAAATGTGAAGCCTTTCTCATGCCCTTGCTATAAGACGACCAGTTAGCACAAGTTTTTGGTGTCTTTCCTGAAGTGATTTTTGCATACAAAACATATGTACTGTTTTATTTTACATATACAATGGTAGCAAACTATATACAGGTGGGCAGCTTGCGTACTTCCATAACCTTGCAAAGAGAATCATCTCATTCTTTTAACAGTTATATTTTATCCTTTTGTATATGTACATATATCATAACTTATTATACTGGTCCCATAATGAGAGGCATTCAGAGTGTTTCCAATCTTTTTTTTTTTTTTTTTGAGACGGAGTCTCGTTCTGTCGCCCAGTCTAGGGTGCAGTGGCTGGATCTCAGCTCACTGCAAGCTCCGCCTCCCGGGTTTACGCCATTCTCCTGCCTCAGCCTCCCGAGTAGCTGGGACTACAGGAGCCCGCCACCTCGCCCGGCTAGTTTTTTTATTTTTTAATAGAGACGGGGTTTCACCGGGTTAGCCAGGTTGGTCTCGATCTCCTGACCTCGTGATCCCCCCGTCTCAGCCTCCCAAAGTGCTGGGATTACAGGCTTGAGCCACCGCGCCCGGCCTGTTTCCAATCTTTTGCTACTATAAACAATCTTGTAATAAACTTCCTAGTATGTATTATTATTTCACACTTGTGTAATTTTATCATCAATTCTGATAGAATCCTAGGACATATAGTATACACCAAAAGAACATTATTTATCTTAATTTAGTCTTTTAAAAATAACATACAGGGTAATTCTTACCTGTATTTCAGTTCCTCTTGTTACAAATTACTAAGTTTAATAAATTTTTACTAAGTTGTTATAAAGTATTTGGTAATTTTGAGACAACAAATAAGGTATTATCATCAAAGCCAAATCAGGTTTTTTTTAGAGATGGGGTCTCACTATAGCCCAAGCAGGCCTTGAATTCCTGGGCTCAAGCAATCCTCCTGTCTCAGCCTCCTGAGTCCCTGAGACTACATGTGCATGCCACCCTGCCCAGCTACAACCAGTTTATTTTTTTAAAACCAGTTTTTAGGCCGGGCACGGTGGCTCACGCCTGTATTCACAGCACTTTGGGAGGCCGAGGCGGGTGGATCACGAGGTCAGGCAATTGAGACTGTCCTGGCTAACATGATGAAACCCTGTCTCTACTAAAAATATAAAAAATTAGCCGGGGTGGTGGTGCACACCTGTAGTCCCAACTACTCAGGAGGCTGAGGCACGAGAATGGCGTGAACCTGGGAAGTGGAGCTTGCAGTGAGCCGAGATCGCGCCACTGCACTCCAGCCTGGGCGACAGAGCAAGACTCTGTCTCAAAAAAATCCCCCAAAAAACAAGTTTTTAAAATTTCATCATTTGCTCAAGGTTAAAAATAAACTACTCTAATTTTTGGAGTAGATCCTTAAAGTAAGTCTCCTAATTTACATAAAATTACTTTTATAGATATACTAATATAATCATTTGATGAATTATTATTTGACAATTATTACTGGCAGTGCATGACAATGTTCTTATTGTGCAACAAAAGCTTACTCTCTTAGCTAATATTTTACCAAGACAGGTAGTAATGATGGAATTAACCATAATAAAGAGGCGATGGTTGCTCTAGACACACACACACACACACACACACACACACACACACACACAATTTTTTAGGCAGATGGTTGTGATGGATGACTTTAGAGGGAAAAATTGGCTTAACTCCTTAAGTTTGTCCAAGTTTATAGGTAGCGCAAGCTGGAAAGTTCAGCAGTAAAAGACTTAAAGTCACACGGTGGTATAAAGTTTGCTCATCCAAATATTAGTTATTGAAAAATATCAACATTTTTCAATAATCAGTATTACATTGATTATTATATGGTTTAAATATCATTTAAATTGTTTCAGTGTGTAAATATGGTTAGATATACCCAGAAAAACCCTAGATTATCCTACGTAGGATTTAGAGGAAAATATCTAAGTCTTATTTCTATTTGGTCACTAGTGCTCTGGGGGGCAGTTGGGGCATAACTTTTAATCTCGAAACGCACACTATGCAGAAGGGTCTTGAGATGAACTGAGAAGGAGCTGCTCATAAGGAGTTTCTTGATGAGGTAATCTATATACAAAACAAGTTTTAGTATACTGTATTTTATAAAATGCAACAGACAAAGCTTCAAAT